ACTTCATTTAGGACAGAGAGTCTCTAACTTCTATCTATCTAGCTGTCAATGTATTCCCATGGCCCCTGTCACAGTTGTTCCCTGTTTGCTCAGGCAAAAATATTAGTCTAGGGGGACCTACTCATAGATTCCTTGATTGCCACCATCTGGCACAATGGCTATACCACTGTATGGCTCAGAATCTTCAGAAGCCTGTCTTACTACTCTCCCAATCCCAAACATTTTATAGGGACTTATAATGTGCTCAGTGTCTTATGGCTCCATAATGCCTAGTAAAGGACTCCATGAAAAGTGTTTCCTTCATCTCTGCTGTACTCAGTTTTATTGATTATTACATTAGATCATATAAGGAATACTCTATGTCAGCCATACATTGGATGTAGTCTTATAAATTAACCAAATAAAAAAGGGCAGGGGAAAATGAAGTACTTTAAATTAAGAAGGAAAGCACAGCACGTAAACCTAGCATCCACTTATCTCTGCCCCCAAATGTTTCTGAACTCCCACTGTCCTAGCAGTATATCCTATCATTACCTATGGTGCTCATCTCACCTCTGGGAAAATACTGGTGTTTTAAGTGTGAGAGGAAGTATGACTTGAACTCCTTCCCTAAAGCAATCTCTGTATTGGACTTAGGACAGTAAGAGTATTGGCATTTTTCTCTAGTTTAGTGGTAAAATATACCCTGCATCTTATTCTCTGCATGCCTTTTCAGGAATGGGGAACTATTTACCCACCCCCCACCACATTTTGGAGCCAATTTTGCTTCCATCTTCCCTATGTCAATTGAATTCAGTAAGTATTTATTCAAGTGTCCCCAGTATCTCTGGTAGGTAAAGGGAGCTTAGAAAGGGCTCCTCAGAAAGGAGTCCCACATTCATTTATTTGTTCAAAAGTCTCTTTGTCCAATTATGCCACCCCTGTCGATAAGCCTTCTCTCAAGCAGTTTGAAATGCCTGTCTTCAAAGACATCCTGGGAAGCACGAATAACCTCGCTTACTTTTAGTGTTAAACCACCCTCCTAGTCAGAAAGCTTTTCATTCAGTCTTGTCCTCGGTTTGCCCTCAGAAGGTATGGAATTTGAAGATGTGGAGCATGGAGAGAGAGGAGGAGGATATGGAGGACTCCTGAGAGTTACAACTTTATGGTTCTCAGTAGTTACCTAAAGTTAAAGTCTTTTCAATGCAGCGAGGCCTGCGAAGTTCACTGAATACATCTCTATATCCTAGGATTCTAGGAGAGTTATGAGATAATGGACTGGGTCACTTACAGAGGTTGCTGCATCTCCTTCCCTGGAGACTTTCAATGTTTCTGAAAACAGGCCATGAAAATGAAAATAAACACTGGCCCACGTGCTCAGGGCCTAAAAGAAATTAGTAATGGCCTAATGATACTAAGGAAGCAGGCTAAAGAAGGGTTAAGTCCTGTCCTGTCTTTTTTATTTTCATTCTGTTTTATTTATGTGGGAATCTGCGTTTGCAGAAGGAAACTCTGAGCATGTCTAGTTTAGGTAGAGGTTTCTATTCACTTAGCCTATTAATATGGGAGCCAGTAGCAATTGTAAAAGTATGAGAAGGCCAACGGAAATTTAAAGGCCAAAGAAAATATGTGTGAATCTGATGATTACTATACGATACAGTGGAATTTCATAATAACATTATCCATCATGCCACGAGGAACTGCGAGGTCGTATTATGACAGATTATTTTTGGGGGGGCAGTATTTCAGTAAGCAAATACTTTACATATTGAATCTCATAGGATCCAATCTCACTCTACTGTGAGATGTTAAAAGGTAATTTTTGGCGTTTTTGCAAGTCTGAGATAGATAAGCACTATTTGGGGTGGGGAGGGTGAGTTTTAAAAATAAGTTTTGCTTAGAATTGGGGAAGAGACAAGTTGCTCTCAATGAACTCATCTACAGGGGTCAGTAAGGCATTATTCAATAGATTCTCAAGGGGTCACTGGAAGAGCTTGGTTGAAGTTACTGAAGTAATCAATCAGCATTTGAATGATGTATCACATCTCTACTTCTGGGATAGTGTACACATCAATATTTGGCTAAAAACAGAACCATGGCTGTTACTTCCCCTTTGGCTCAGTGAATCTGAAGTGGCTAAGTTAAGCTCTCATAGCAGGAGGATGAATGTTAATTGTAACTCCTTATGTTTATGTTGTATTCTTATTGTCAAATCATCTTCACATATCATCTCCTGAGTTTTATCCTCATTTTACAAATGGAGAAATTGGGTCAGATAATGAGAAATGCTTTTTTCAAAACAAAAAGTAGCTAAGTATAGTGAGCTAGTGCCTGATATACAACTAGAACCTAGGATTCCTGATTCCCCATCTAATGCCTTTAACATCCAATTACCTAAGCCTCCAAAAGATGTTTGTAAAAGTGTTCTGATTTTTTCCCCCCTTAGGCAATTGGGGTTAAGTGACTTGCCCGGGGCCACACAACTAGTAAGTGTCAAATGTTTGGTCTGAGACCGGATCTGAACTCAGGTCCTCCTGACTTCAGGGCTGGTGCACTATCCACTGCACCACCTAGCTGCCCCTGGAAAAGTGCTTTGAAAGCTATAAGATGCTATAAAAATGTAAGAAGGCTAAATTCTCATTGATAATTAAAATGGTTATCATTTAAAGAGCTTGTCCTGAATTTTGATCGCTGTCAAATGACGTCAGTTTTTTACTGGTGTTTCTCCCATTGTTAACTAAGTTACTCATGTATGGGGCTGATAAACTCTCTTCAGAATTCTTGGTTTTTGCCTGTTCTCTGCTCAAAACTTCCAATTCCCATTTTCTATAGCATAAAGTACAAATTCCATTGCCTGGTATTCTGTATCTTTCACAATTTGCCCCTCATCCCTAGAGAAATCCTCTGATCATCCTCAAACAGGTTTGCTTCTTATCATTGCCTGAACTTTTCAACCTGTTGCGTTGCCTTTGTTCTTGGGGATCCCCACCTCCACCTTTCCCTTCTGGACTGTCCTTCTTCGCATCAAAATTCTACCTATCATCTAAGGCCCAGTTCAAATCTCCCTTCACCTGTGGACTTTCCCAGATCACCATCCAGTCAGAGATAAAATTCTCTATCCCCAGAATACCTGTAGAACTTTTTGGGTCTTACCCACTCTTAAAGCACTTACCTTCTGCCTGCTACCAGCTACTTTTGTGGCTTCTACAGGAAGCCATTTTCCCAAGGACACTACAAGCTCCCAGTGGACATATCTTATATCTATTGAGCCTTATACATCTCTGTATTCTACAAAAAGTCTACCCTAGTGCAGGGTCCTGCATAGAGCAGAGGCCCAATAATTATTTATTGATTGAATGCACCTCTCATATTGAATTTAAGATGTCTACTGGACAGGAGACATATTAGATCTGCTTAGGTAATGTCTTAAACTCCTTTCCCCTAAACCCTACCTCTCTTCCCCTTTCCTATTACTTTAGAGGCTATCACTATCCTCTCAGTACCTCAGGCTTACAACTGTAAAGTCATCCTGGATTCCTCACTATCTCTTGCTCCTGCCCCCCCCCCCCTTCCCACCCAACTTGTTGCCAAGGCCTGTCAATTTCATCTTTGTAACATTTCTCCAATATGCCCCCTTCTCTCCTCTGACACTGCTACTACTCTGGTGCAGGCCTCATTAACTGACACCTGGATCGTGGTAATAATAGCCCAGGAGTGGATCAGCTTACCTCAAGTCTCTCCCCACTCCAAACCATCCTTCATTCAGCCTCTAAAGCAATTTTCCTAAAGTAAAGCTCTGATCATGTCATACTACTCCCCCATCCCAACTCCAGTGGCTTCCTGCTGCCTCCAGAAGCAATACTGTTTGGCATTCAAAACCCTTCATAACTCTGGGAAATTTCTCTGGCTCTCACCCATACCTGGAAAGGTTTTCCCTCCTCTCCAAATACTGACCTCCCTGGCTTAAGTCCCAACTAAAATCTCACTTTTCTACAGGAAGCCTTCCCCAAAGCCTTTTAATTCCTGTGCCTTCCCTCTGCTAATTATTACCTATTTATCTTGTATACAACTCACTATGCACTGGATTGCAAGCTCCTTGCAATCTTTGCCTCTTTTCGTATCCTCAGCTTTTAGCACAGAGCCTGGCAACTAGCATGTGCCTAATAAAGGTTCATTGATTGATTTCTTTGCAGGTTGTCTCCCCCATTAGATTGCAAACTCCATGAGAGCAGAGACTGTCTTTTGCCTCTTTTTGCATCCCCTGAGCTTAGCCTGATACCTAGCTGGCATTTAATAAATGTTGACTGAACTGAACTGACCACTAGTGACTCAGGGTTCCCCTGTCCTCAAACCCTTGCTTCGCAGGCCTTAAACAAGCTGACCAGGCCTGGAGGGGCAGGCACGGCCAGTCGCTGCCACGCCCGGGAAGCCTACCTTGCGTTTCCGCTTAGATTTCGGCAACCCCTTCTCGGCGGTGGGCAGGTCCGGGGCCGGATTCTGCAGGCCGGGGTCTGTCTCTTTGGCCCCGGGGGCGGCCAGGGCGGCCTCCTGGGGGGGCGAGGGCTCTGGGATCCTGGACAAGAGGGCCAGATCGATTTTGACCCAAAGGGCCTTGACCTCGTCGCTGTCCTTGAGCGGGGAGAGCAGCTCGTTGCGGCCGAAGGGCACCAGGGTGTAGAACTGCTCCTCGAGCTCCTTTGCGGCGTCGCTCGAGGTCCTGGCGTTGATGGAGCCCACGGCCTTGTTGCCGTTGTTGTTGCCGCCGTTCCCGGGGCCGCCGTCCCGGAGCCGCTGGTCGCCCCCCGCCGAGGCCGAGGCCGACGAGGGCGCCGGGCCCCCCGCCGGGGGTTTGGGGCCCGGATAGTCCTCCTGCTCCGATTCCGGCTCCGAGTCGGACGAGGACGACGAGGACGACGACGAGGACGACGATTCGGTTTCGATGAACTCCTTGGACTTGGGGGCAGTCTTGCTCAGGCCCCGAGTGCGTCGCTTCTCGCAGGCCGCAGCCGCCGCCGCGGCCGAGCACGAGCGCAGCTCTTTCCGGTGGCCCGTCCTGGCGCCGCCGCCACACGACCTGGGCTTGGGGGGTTCGGGGGCGGGGCTCTCCACGAGCACCTCGCTGGCCGCCAGCTCCTCGGCCGCAGGCCGGTGGCAGTTGGCGCCCTCGCTCGCCGAGGCCCTCTCCGTGGTCGCCGTCGTAGTCGTCGTCGTCGTCGTCGTCGTCGTCCTCTTCGGGGGCTTCTTGCAGGCCGACCTCCGGGGCGGGGGCGGCGCGCCTGCGCCCTCCGCAGCAACTGGGGCGGCCCCCACGGGCCCTGAGCTCAGAGCGGCGGGGACAGCGGCAGGGGCGGCAGGGGGCGCTGTGGGGGCGGCTGCGGCTGCGGGAGGCGCAGGCGCAGTGGCGGGAGGCGACTTCTGCTTCACCCCTTTAGTCCCAGGGGCTTTGTTAGCAGTCCTAGGCCTCTGCTCCTCTTTGCAGGCGCCCTTGATCTCTTTCTCTCTGAGGCCTGTCTGGCAGAGGGTGGTTAATTTCCCACACTCCTGCACTTCGTCCTTTCCCCGGTTGTAGTACTGGCTGCCCTCTGACCCGTGGCTCTCATTTTGGTTCAGGAGCGGAGGCTTATGGGGATTCACTTTGTTGAGCCATTTATCCAGCTGCCACTTGTTGGAAGAAGCTTGTTCTGGCTAAAAATCAGAACAAATAAACAAACAAAAAAACACACCACAAAACATCTTTTATGAAACCTAAGGAGGGGGCCGGGTGGTTTGGGTTTTTTGATTGATTCCTCTGGGTGTGTGAAGGAAGACTAATGAGTAGTGTTTGAAGCAGACAGGGAAGAAGATTTGTGTATCATCACTCAGCAGGAGAACGAAGGGAGGATGATGTTATCCATTGCCACATACTTGACTGCTGTCCTAAAAAGTGAAATGGCATCTTGCCTCTTCCTAATCTCCTTCAAGCGCTATTAATACGCTCCTTAATGGATATTTTTTAAAAAAATATTTATTTTTCATTATAATAAAACATCATAATTTATTATTTATTTCATTTATTTATATTATATTTTAATTATTTATTATTCTCTCACTCCCCTACTCATTGGGAAGGCAAGAAATAGGGTATTTATTATACATATGAAGTCATACAAGACATTTCTGCTTCATGTATATTTTAATAGTCGTCTTTGAACACCTAAATGGGGGTGGGGAAGGTCAGTAATGTTTTTTCTCCCTCCCTGTCAGTTTTTGAGAATTAAAAGGTTAACCTATCTCAGAATCTGCCTTTGTTCTAAGGCATTTCCATTCTCAACCCTAATTTTAGGACTCTGTTGATATGAGTTCCTTAATGTGCTGTGATGGTATCAAGTTGGGGAGAAATAGATTGTGTGAGGAATAGAAAGATTTTCTAAAGTGAAGTGTATGGCAGTAAAGATTTGGTAAAAGGTGAAGAACCAAAGCAAAAGGGCCGCCCCCCAGTACATGTAGCAAAAAAGACTGCTTATTTGGGAAGACAGTGTATAGTCATCTCACAGTAGGAGCATTAACTTTAGGGAAATTACTAGGTTGCTAAGGTTGTATTCAGTATGTTTCAAAAGGGACTGGTGCTTGTACTTTGCTCTGCCAGCCTGAAATCCATCTTCAATTCCTTTAAATTCCTATATTGCAGAAAGCAATGAAGGTGGTGGAAGCAGTGAAAGAGATTCTTCCTAGGTACTAGGGAGATTTAGGTAGGAAATAATCATTTCTAGTGGGGTTAGAGCTGTCTAACAATCCATCATCATCACAGAAAATAAGGACATTGACATAATTGCTATTCCAGTCAGTCTTTCTGTGAAAGAATGTATGTGAAATATTTTTACTTTTCCAGATTAAAAGAAAATGCCCCAAAAGAGAAATGATCAAGTGAATTCTACCAAGATTTGCACTTTATTAATGTAATAATAATGATAAAAAGTTAATATAGCACTTCAATATTTGCAAAGTGCTTTATAAATATAATCTCATTTGATCCTAACAACAATCCTGGGAAGGTGTTATTATGTTCTATTAGGGACTATTATGATCACCATTTTGCAGATAAGGCAACTGATCACATAGGTTAAGTGCCTTACCCAGGGTCCCATGCCTAGGAAGTAACGGAGACTATTCAAACTCTTCCTTGACTGCAGACTTTTGTGTTCTATCCACTGTACCACCCGACTGCCTACTAAAGTAAAGCAATGGTGAATAATCAAAATGAATGAAATGCAGCATTCAATGGTTGGCAAAGCAGTTGCCTCTTGAAGCCCCTCAATAAACAGAGGTTAGCTAAAAGCTAATTTAGTAGGACTTAATATTTTTGTGAAATCTAAAACTGGCCTTACCACTTTTTTTTTTCACTTTGGCAAATCACTGGCCATTTTAGGCACGAAGTTTTCTGCCTTTAAAATAAAAATGCTGGAGCATATAAAGAGTGCCTTTAAAAGTTAAAAAAAAAGTTTGGGACCACAGTAATTTTTGACAGTGCACAGGATTTGCAGTGGCTAGCCCCACTACTCTGAATGGCGGCACTTCTTCAATTTCTATTATTTTAAAGTCTGTGCTTTTGCTCCCTCATATCATTAGGCAAAGAAAACACATACATACATCTGGGCTGTAGCCAGAACCCTGTCATAAGCAGAAATTCCTCAGAAAACAATAAAACAGTGAATAGAAAGGTGGGGTAGAATTTAATCATTTTCTTATAGGGCCACTGACTGATTTAGATTCCTTCATCCTACACAATACTAGCAGAGAAATCTTCCCAATACACCATTTTCAGCACACCATTTCCTGCTCAAGAACCTAATGGGATCCCTAAATTGCCTACCAAATACAATTCAGATTTCTCAGGCTGGCATTCAAGACCTTCCACCAACTGTCCCCACACTATTCTCTCTCTCATTGCACTCCAACTTAGGCAACGTTAGTCCTTTGAGACTGTCAGATATATATTGGAATTGATAGTAATCTTACTTTAGGGAAATACACCACTCAGCCTCCTTCAATCACCTTGGCACTTATGTATAAACAACTATTTAGCACCTTATTGTGTCATCTTTTGTGTTCTCTATTTCATTTCTATCAAGATTGGAAGCTTTTCAAGGGTAGTACTACACATTCTACCCCTTTTGTATCTTCTAAAACCCCTGACTGCTCAAAACATCTTTGCATTGAATTGATTTGACCTGCATAGTCACTCTGCTTGAGTACTAAGGGCATTCTCACTAGCCCTGTACCAAGCTAATCTATTCTTCTAGCCTGGCACGAATTCCACCTTCAGTCTTATTAATCCAAATTCTGTGATTCTTTAAGTTCTGATTTAAGTGTCAGCTCTTAGATGATGTCTTCCCTTGACTCTACCTCCTCCACAGTGATTCTGTAGCTAACTTTGAGTTACCTTAACCTTTATTTAAACTAGTCCAGAACTGCCAAGTGCTTAACTATTGTGTTAAGTGTTGCCTTGGTTTTGTTCTCTAGCTATTTATGCTATCACCCAAATAGATTGTAAACTCATCAAGGGCAATGCTGCCTACGTGTATTATAGCTTCTATAGTATCTAATGCTTTTTAGGTAGTGGAAACTTAATGAATCCCTCTTACTTTTTATATGAAGAACCTCTAGTGAATCATATGGTGATAAAGAACTTTGTGTGTACCAAAAAAAAAAAAAGATGGCATAGGAATGAAAAAACATCTTTTTTTTCATATTCTAGAGAGCAGTTACATGAGGATGTATAAGATAATGGGAAGGAAGCTAAAAGGTAATTCCAAAAACTGAGTTTTGAAGCAACTAAGTGGATGGGATGACTCACCAGTTATGGAAAAATGGGACTCAATGACTCTTTCATGTTAGTTCAAGGATATAACATCATTATGCTATGGTTGTTTATGTAAAATAAAATGGCTTTCAACAACTCAAGCTATAAATAACTCATAAAAAATAGAGGTGAGTCCAGAGGATTTTTTCATACAGGTAAACTGAGATACCTGCTGGTACCTCAGGGTATGAATCCTTTTCTTTTTCTTGTACTTTGGGATGTTACCAGTGATAGAAATGGCATCCTCAGCAATTACATTTCAAAGCAGTACAAGAAGATACAACCCTAGGATCTCAGTTAGTTATGGGGATTTGATTTGCATCTCTAAAGTATAATCAGTTTAGTGCTATTAACTGGTTTAGGGTTAGGCAAGATGACTTTAAGGAGCAGTTTGTTACATAGAAACTACATTCTATAAGATGTTATGAATGGATAATTGGGCAAATGATATTTTGGTGCAGTTTCATGACTTAGAGCACTATAGAAATGTATTGTTATTATTACAGTAGTATCTTGTTAAATATAACTAATGATGCTTGTATTTCCAGTGTCTAGCCCAATGCCAGGAACTTAGTAATTGCCTAATACTGTTTGGTTGATTGATTGACATTAATTGGGGCAACCTCATCCCCAGAACACCTGTGTACCCACAGTAGACATGATGGTGAAACTATGAAGTAACTTGAGTGATTATAAAGAGTGATTTCATGGAAACAAGTTTCATTACATTATGATCACATCCTTTATGGTAAAGAAGGGAGATGCATACTTAGCATTGTTGGGGAGCATACTGTAAGGTAATAGTAAATTCTTCTCAAACTGATGTTCTCTACATTTTGTAATGGAAAGAGCACTAGATTTGGAATAAGAGCACCAGGGTTTGAATCCCAGCTCTGTCATGGACTATTCATGTGACTTTGGTCAAGTTAGGTAATATGTGCATAGTTCTTGCCTTAAGGACTGGACCTATGATTTCATTTGACAAGGAGCTCCTGGATGAGTGAAATTATTCTATCAATACAGATCAACATCTGAGTAATTTAGAGTCTGAGGGTTGCCTATAGCAATAAGAGTTCAGTGACTTGCTCAGAGCAACATGGCCAGTCTGTGTCAAAGAACTCAGTTTTTTCTGGCTCCAAAGCCAGCTCTCTATGTGCTATACCACATTGACTCTCATAGAAGTCACTTAATAAATACTTGGTTGATTGACTGAAAACTTATTATACTTCCTTGAGCTTCAGTTTCTTCATCTGCAAAATCAGGCGGCTGGACTAGATGACCTCTAAGGTTCTTTCCAGCCCTGGGTCTATGAGCATAACTTTTGGACATATAAATGAATAAATACACCCACATTTTTTTCTTTATGGGAAAAACTTGTATAAATTGATTCCACCTGCACAGGAAGAGTACATTTATTATTTATTTTGGTGGGGTAGGGTAGTGTGCTAAGAAGAAACCTTTATTTTTAGTCAAACCTATACATTATTTTCTAGAAATGAGATTGTAAAATGATAGAGTATTATTAATATGTTGCTGCTCCGACATTTTATACTCTCAGATTTTTACTCATAGGTGGGTAAATTACTAGGAAAGGTAACTGGCCTCAGGCACCTTTAACTCTTGGTGATCTTTTTTTTAAGAGACTTGTGATCCAGCTCCTTAGTCAGGAGCTTCTTTGAATCGTGCTCTGCTAATTGACCCCACATTGTTGCTGGAGGAAATGTACAAGAGAGCTGAAATCTTTGTAATTACCTCAAAGACATTTGGAAAGAATATACTTTAAAGAGAATGGTAACTGTGCTCTTCTTAGCTAAGTTTTCAGTCTAATTTCAGGAGGTATGAGATTAAAATTTTATCAGAAAACTGAAAGGTCCTGGACATTATGCATTTCACAAAGTGCCCAATACTTTTCTTACCAGGACATGGACCCATTTCTTATCACTACTCTTTGGGTTTTTTTTTTCCTCTAAAATTCTGACATAAAATATTTCTGTTTTATCTTTGGAGACCTGCTGTTCTATTCCCTGTAAGTAGACTGTGAAGAACTCCGTTAACTCCGCTTGTGTGTTTTTGTTTTATTTCAGATTGTACAGGAATAATAATGGTATAGCTCCTTTAACATGTAGGGTTTTCTCATTTCTGTACATTTTTAGGTGACTGGAGTGGCCCTGAGTGAGGAATTAAAAACAGCTGGGGAGTGATATTACATGCCTTCAAGGCCCCTCTCAAATGCTATCACCTTTATGAAAGCATCCCCAATTTCCTCAACTGTATCTAATTTCTCCCTCCTGTAGACCCCATATAGAACTTTGTTTATACTTCTCTTAGGGTATGGATAGCATCATTTATAACATCATTGTTTGTGTATTTCTGCCCTCCCCCCCCCAATCCATGAGGTTATAAGCTGCTCATGTTTTATCTTTTATCTTCCTAGAGTCATACACTTAGAGCTGGATGACTTAAAGGTCATCACCTAGAGTCCAGTCTTCTTATTATACAGATGAAGAAATTGAGAGAGGCTAAAGGTTTTGCTCCAGAATCACTCAGGAAATAAGCAGGAGGGGCAGCATAGGTCCTCTGATTCCACGGCCATTGCTCTTTCCATCACACCTCAGAACCAGACTGTTGGAAAGGTGCTTATGTCTAAAGAAATGAAGAGCCACTTGAGAACATTTGTCATCTAAGGAGGAGCTGAAGATAGCTGGAAAAGAAGGGGCCAGCTAGAAGTAGTGAAAATGGCTTGAGGAACCCCTTATGTAGGAGATTATCTAAAAAGCCAATGTTAACAGAAGGAGCCAAGAAATAAGTAACAACGGATAATGTATCTGTTTCAAAGATCTTTCCTCTAAGATTTGCTTTTCTTGGCATATCTCGATGTTTATGGGTAGCATAAACAGTAATAGTCTTACTTTATGAAAAGAAAAGGTAAGTGCATTAAGTGGAGGGGAATCCTTATTTTTTTTCTCAATTATCCATTACTTTAGTAAATCTAATTGTAGTGCCTGTACTATCCGGAGACACCACTAATCCCCTAGTAGCAGCTCCCAGAAGTGCTCATGGAGCACCTGAAAGAACTTAAAGAGTGATTCTAATGCTCCCTAAATGCTGAGCCACTTTTAAATGATAACATCAGACACATTTTAATTAAGCTTACCTGGCAACTGTGACTATAAAAGTGGGCATAAAAGTGTGATGGAGGTGGGTGGGTGGGGGTGGGTGTGGCACAGTAAAAAGAGCATTGACTTTGGAGTCTGAAGTCCTGGGTTCCAACTCCACTTCTGATACTCCCTGTGTGACCTTAATCAAGTCTCTTAACATCTCTGAGTCTCAGTTTCCTCGTGTGTAAATGAGGGGGTTGGACTAGATGGCCTCTAAGCTCCCTTCCTGGCCAAAATCTGTGATGCTATGTGTTACATAGTAGGTGGTTAGAACTTCAACCATATTAACATAGTTATCAATTGTTGGTCCAGTTTCATGGGCCTATTTAGAAATTTGATCCCCAAGGTGGTGTAGGTGGCTTTGTGAGTTAAAAAAAAAAATCTTAGAAATGAAACTATGTAACTCATACAAACTTCATGTTTCTACACTAAGATAGAGTTGCTTTTTATTGCTTCTTTAGACATCAAAGTCTATCTGCAGAGTCCCCCCACTCCAGAAATTTGTTCTCAGCCCTCCCCCAAGAATATTCATGCTGAATTACTACTTAGTTTTTCCCTTTCCACTTTAACATAGAAATTGCAATGATTTTTATTGGAGCCTTATAATGTCTTTATATGAGGCACCTAGATCTTCTCCAAAGATACTCATCATGGCAATAAAAGGTTTTATTATTATTTGTAAGCTGATGCTAATTTTTCTTTTTATAATCTTCACAAAGAAAACGCAACTAAGAAAGTGTGGGTTTTTGTTTTGTTTTTTTGTTTTTTTGCTAATATTTATAGCTCTCTGTCCTCCTGACCCGTGACAAACTGCAAAAAGGTGAGGCCATAGCCGTGTCTAATCCATAAAACCCCCTTTCTCTGTGATTTATATATGGTCACACTTATTAGGCCATGAACTTTTCTATCTAGTTATTGCCTCAGTTGACCCCTAGTGCGACTTGATCCATAGGTTATCCTTCATCTGCTGGGTTCCCTGAATACCTGGCAACAAGGGAAAGTCAGGATGGATATCCCAGGGACAAAGAAGAGCAATAGCCCTCATGCTTCAAATGCAGTCCCTTTCCTCCGGCCAGCAGAGGGGATGGGGGAGAGTAGGGAAAGTGATTCAAAACAATACTTGCCTAACTGATAAATAAAGTCCTTCTTCCTAATGAGGGGATTTGGCCTAGGGATAGCTCCTTTAATTAGGGCCAAGCCTGGATGGAGGGTTTGGGAGGACTTGGGGAGGAAAGAGACAGAGTCTGGCCTTATGGAAACCCTTAGGCAAGAAGGAGAACCAAAGCAGAGGGAGGGGGCCGGCCAGGAGCTCTGGGAAGATTGGGGGGAGGTCTTACCTCTGGGCTGGAGTAGTGAGAAGGCTTGCTGCCTTCACTCCCACTGGAGCTGCTTTCGCTCTCCGAGTCCGAGCCAGAGCTGCTTTCCGAGTCGCTGGAGCTGCTGCTGCTGCTGCTGGAGCTGCCGCTGCTCGACCCCTTGCTGGAGGGGCCCGAGGGTCTGCTATTGGCCTGCTGCTGAACCACCGCGCTGCCAGCCCCACGGACAACCCACCGAGGAGGAAAAGAGAACAACATAAACAAACACAAAAACATC